GTTTCGTAGATCAGTTATAGATTTACTTTGGCAGCGAAGATGGCAGAATAACAATAGGACAAATATGCACTCTTGAGTCGTGGGGGGGGGGGGGTTGGGGTAGGAGAATGCCATTGCCACCTTGCAAGTATCTGTCGCTGGCGTGAAACGACCAGGTTGTCTGTCTTTGGCTCTTGTAGGGAGGCCAGTGAGCTTTCTGCAGCTGGTTTGGTGATGGGAGTTTTTCTGAAGACAGCTTTTTGCTGCCAAATACCAATAGACATCAAGTGCCCAGCAGACTCTTCTGTGAAGTGTTTTTGGATTAACAATGGAGAGTTCTTCTCCTTCCAGATAAAAGTAACTGCCATCAGCTGGATCGGTTTACGTTAATGAAAAAAATATCTCCATAACTTCATGTGAAAACTAGATCTGCTGTTGATGCAGCAGTGTGTCACACAGCTAGTAATTCTGAAGTTTATTTGTTTTTGTGAGATTATTAAGCTGCCGGCCTAGGGAAGCACTTGTATGAACGACTCGCGTCTGTGAAGAGTTGGGGCAAAAATCCGACACTTGTTACCTGAAGCCGAGCAAATGTGGATTTTTTTCTCTCTCACTTAATCAGACCCAGATCGGAGGCAAGAAGAACAGTGTGGTCCTGCAGAAGCTGACTCCCGACACGCCCTACTCAATCACCGTGGCGGCGATATACGCTACTGGCGAAAGCAAAGACATTTCTGGCGGGGGCAAGACAAGTAAGCGCCCATGCTGCCTTCTTCAGTATAGGCCTCCTGTTAGAGTCCGAGAGGTCCGTCGGACCGTGAGCGCCACTGGCTTTAGAGCTGAGATTTCTGGCATCCTTCTTGGCTACGTACCTTGCATCAGGGTTGCCAACTGTCACGCACTCTCACACTTTCAGACTCTCACGCAAGAAATCTTACAGCAAATCTAAATTTATTCTATTTTAAACCTAAAATTAGCTACATCAAAAATGTTTGGGTAGTTTGCAAACCCTCCAGACTATTTACACGGTAATAAAACCGTCACATACATGTGAGTGTGCATGTGTGTGCAGACTTGTCTCGAACTGAAAATCTCACTTCAGCCAGCTGACCAGAGATGGTGACCCTGTTACACCTGTCATGTAAACAGTAATGCAGCATTGTGATTTGCTTCCCGATTTCTATAGAGTCCTTAAATAGAAGATGACAATTTTTATTACGTCACCGTTGAGCATATGTATTCTGTATTCTGACATCGAAGGGGAGCGTAGATTCTTGAGGTGCTGGCGAGGGCCTGACACACGCGCGTCGTGCTCCCACATGCGCGCGATTGCATCAGTTATAAACACCGATGTCATTGATGCATTGCAGAAGAAACCACAGCTGTTTCTGGGCGATTAGTAGCATCGCTCACAGAGGGGCAGAAAGGCTGCCATCTCTGCCCTGAATGCGCTTCACAGTCTTTTCAGCCTGTATAAAGAGGATCAGAGCTGCTGTCCAGCAATTCTAAAGAGAACCAACTACCCATTGTCATTGTCATTGTCTACACCACAGAGCCATTGGGTGGAGTGCGGAACCTCCAGGTGACCGATCCCACCACCAGCACACTCAGGGTGACCTGGGAGCCAGCAGAAGGCAACGTCCGCCAATATCGCATCTTCTACGTTCCGGCCACAGGGGGCGATGAGGAACAGGTACAGTAGCCATTTGTCCACAGTCTTTAGCAGCCCATCTGTGTTCGGCTGAGTGTCATTGCAGACCTTTTATCCATATGGACAATACTCAACTTCTTAGAGAAATTAAATTCTGTGACATGGTCGTAGATGCCATTTGGAGATAGACCTGTCCATAAGACCTTCTCATGACCCTTTTTGAGACTGGCCATCTGCCAGAGAGTTTAGGTTTGGTCGGTTGTCACGTCCAGGTAAACCTTATTGACTCGGTAAGCGTTAAGTGACTTTGAAGCAGCATGGGGTGGGAGACCTTGTGCTTGTCTTGGTGCTCTGGTTTGTCCTGCATGAGTAACCACAACCGTGCTCTCCTGTGCCCACCAGACGCAGGTCTCCGGGACCATCACCAACACGGTCCTGAGAAACCTCATGCAAGACACCATCTATACAGTGACTGTGGTGCCGGTCTTTGCCCTGGGCGATGGAAAGCGCATGTCGGAGAACGGAAAGACCCGTGAGTCACATGGCAGACAGATTCTGAAGGCTCAATGTGGAAACCCTCTGAGATCATATGGAGAGAAATCCCTCCTGCTAAATCACCATGCAGTAACACGATGCCTGGAACACAAACAAAACCGAAGATCCACAAAACCATAAACAATGGATTAATTAATTGATTTATGTTTCCAGTTATATTTATGTAATGTAGTTAATACATTACATAAATATAACTGGAAACATAAATCAATTAATTATTTATCCATTTGTCCAGTACATGGTTGACATGATGATCATTCTAGCAAAGAAAAATAATCCAATCCATAATAAATTGCAATTTATAATACGTTAATGAATAATCAATTTATAATTCTCATTATGTCTTTAAGGTCTGAGCTTAAAAATTGGATTATGCATAGGATGGACTCTAAAACCTTTGGTGGATCTGTTCCTGTTTTTTGCATGTATATAATATAGCAGAGTCTGCTTACATAGCACATCTGACTGGGTTTGGGATGGAATTAAAGGTAGCGATTGGCCTCCACTCCTAGCCCAGGCGTCCGCTGCATCGAACCGTAAAACAGAACAAAGGAGCCCTTCTTTTTGAATACGGGGCACGGCTCCTTTCTGCATATTCCATCCTGTGTGTTTTTCTTCACTCTGCTTGAGTTGGGCTCCTTGCTTAGTTTGCACAAACCGTCTCCAGGAGCTGCCAGTCAGCAGAGGCAGGGAAGCACATTGATATAAAAGACCTCTGTTACCAGTTAGCGGGGAATTCTGTGTCGCTTCTTCATTCTTTTTTTTGATGAGAGAAGAATAGTCACTTTACACGTTTCAGTTGTTTAAAGTTACGCCGTTCCTCTCCAGGTATTCTTCAGCAGCTAATCATGTAAAATAGTTTATGCTGACTTTGTTGTGTGCTAATTTGATTTAATCCCTAAAACACTTTGATAACTGCATTTTATTTGAGTACATCAAACTTCTTGCTTCTTGAGCTGTCCTGGTTGCACCACATCTGTTTAAAATAGATACCTGATATTTTTCAAATGACAACAATGCCATCTGAGGCAAGTTAAAATAAAAATTGTTTGACAACAGTCCCCGTGAAACTCACACTTCGTGGAATTGCCTCAGGACTAGTTGTTTGCAGTTTGAATGTTGTGTGGTCATGTGGTCTGACACTATGTGGTCTGACACTGTGTGGTCATGCGTTCTGATGTGTGGTCATGTGGTCTGGTGTATGTTCATGTGGTCTGACACTGTGTGGTCATGCGTTCTGACACTGTGTGGTCATGCGGTCTGACACTGTGTGGTCATGTGGTCTGACACTGTGTGGAGTCCTCTGACCCCTCCCCTCTTCCTGTCATTTCCTTCTTCCTCAGTCGTGCGCTCGGCACCCAGGAACATTCAGGTGTACAACCCCACCACCAACACCCTGAATGTGCGATGGGAGCCCGCCTCAGGACAAGTGCAGCAGTACCGAGTCTCCTATGCTCCGCTGACTGGGACCAGGCCCTCAGAATCTGTGAGTTTCCTGGGAAGTCTAAAGCTGGGCTGTCTTCCCGCTGAACTTCCAGTGAATTACCAAATACTGAGTGGACCTTGATTTTGACCAAAAACATTATTTTGGGGACATGTTTGGCCTGCTGATAAAAGTAAATGAGAAATATTTTTTATAATGCTTTTAGATCCTAAAATAACAATAGTAGTTTTTTTTACGGTTACTTAATAGATTGTGACTTATAAATCAAAAAAGGACCATCAAGCCATGTTAGAGAAGCCTTCTCAAAACCAAAACGATCAAGCTCTGTGCCACACGTCGCTTGTTTTTCTTGCAGATTACAGGACTGGATGCTTGAGGCTTTTGGGTCGGCTGGTGGTTTAAGGTCTTGAATTAAGCTCTGGCCTATTAGGAGACAAGGAGCCAGTTAAAACCTAAAATGTTCTGCATTTCAAACTCTTTTTTTTATATTTTTCTTTTCAAAACTGAATGTGTTTAAAATGGCTCTAAACAATAAACGCTTTAGAGGTTTACACTTCAAAAAATTTAAGCACATTCATTTGATTTTAGTAAGTAAAAAAACTTTAATTGTTATAATGAGTTTTTGACATAAACTACCATTTGTATTTGCAAGGTATATTAAACAGATATACATGTGAAAATATTGTTAATCTGTGTCACATGACACTGTTATTGATCAAGTGTTGCTAACATGACTGAGATGACAATGCTTTGGTTACCTTTTTAGTGAGACGAAATTAATCCAGTATAATCTGAAACAGACTTTCCGTGTGAGAAGTGTTAGTTTGTCCCTTTAATCTGGCAAAACACCATGTGGGATGTATTGTGTGGAATCAGTTACAAGGCAATAGAAATGGCATTTCTGGTGTTTACTTATAGCAGAACCACATTAGACACATGGACTTAAGTAGAACCACATGACACACATTATTATGATTTACCATTTATATTTAGAACATAATAAGTATTTTTTGTTGAGGGTCACATGAGTTTATGGATAGGAGGATCTATGTTTGTATTTTGTGTGATCAAGGGTGTATTCCAGAAACGAACAAAAGGAGTTACATTCAAGGGCAAAAATCCAGGTGTTTCTATTCTGAAGAGCATCTTCCCTTGTCGGCTGCAGGTCTTGGTCCCAGGAAACACCCACACCGCCTTCCTGCAACAGCTGATCCCTGACACGGAGTACTCTGTCAATGTGGTGGCTCTGTACGCTGACGGAGAGGGTCCATCGGTCGCCAGTGATGGCACGACATGTAAGGTCCCCCACAGTGTTGCACCTCTGGAAACGTTACCCTTCTATAAACAACCAAAATGACATTGCAGTTGTACTGTTCGCTGGCCACCATTAAGACTTTTTCCAATGCGGAGACCGTTTTTTGAACTAGGATGAACACGGAAGTCAAGATGTATGGCATCTCGTTGA